GAGCTATCTTGCAACTCTTCCTTACTTGGAGGGTTCCAGTTGCTCCTGTCTTTGATTCTCTTGTTGTTTCTCATCTTGAATAGTAATCACCTCTACCAAGAAGACCAAACAATTCATAGTTGCTGTGATAGTTGCTATGACAGAACTTGGGGATCAAACTGCCATTACAATCCCTCTTCTCAGAGTTAACATTGGTACATAAAGGGACTCTACATATTCTGCACATGCTACAAGTATTTGCACCACACATATAACAAATGTTTTTGCTCCTTGACTTGGGAGGCACAATTGCCTTCTTCAGATGAGTTATGTACTTAGTCCAAGTGAAGCAAAATCTATCATTTGCCTTGCTCTCTGCAATGGTCTGTAAGTTGTGATATGCCAGCAACTTCCCATTCTTGTTAAGGAAACTTTTACCACCCTTCCTTCTTGTAGCCCTACCACTACTCACCTTTTGGCAGGATTGAGTGTACTGTCTCAAACAAGTGTCACGGATATGTCTGCTCAACAGAATCCCATCTGAACTTGACGTTCTCACTTGATCCTTTGCAAGCCCCATGCATAAWAAGAATGACATTAAACTGAACTGCTTCAAGCAATGTAAMTGACTCTTTTTGATGYCCATCAGAGATGTACACATCAGTATATCACATCACCTTGTTATAAAAAGTGTGCTTCTTCTCAGGTTCAATTTGATACTGCTGTGCTTCTCTGGAATCTGGATCAACTTATAGAAAAAGAGAGTATCCCATTTTCGATCCTCTCTTTTGTCAGCCCATGCTACTGGAGTTGAAGATATCAAGTTTGCCCTTCCCCTGTAAACATAATATCCCCAGTAGCATGCTTCCTTGCAAAATGATTTTTTGGATCTTCAACTGAACCTTCCCATCAGTGGAATTCCATCTGGTCTCCTTATGCTCCTGGATAGGTTCCTTGCCAGGACCAGCTAAGGCTTAGGAAATTCCACAGGCTTACATTCAGAATGAAGATAGTGTCCTTACTTTCCTCCACTTCCTATCCTAAACTTGGGTCTGTAGTAATAAATATGTCAGCCACCAGGAAAGTCCACATCTTCCCAGCCTTGAGGTTGTCCTCTTTCTACCTTTTGATCCTTCCTCTGGTAATCTTGTAGGACCTTAAGGTGATTTTGACTCTAGTATTAACAATAGCTCTATTTGTCTAATAAAAGAACTCAATATCACAAGGCTCAACAGCATTATCCTAATCAAATGCCTTCTTCTGGCTCTGCTGTTCAATTTCATTGAAGAGCTCTACTTGTACTTCCTCCTTATGGCTCATAGTACCTGATACCTTTGAATCATAGTTAGGCTTAGCATCATCTTCAACAAGCTCCTCCTTACTTGAGGAACTAACATCCTCAAAGACTCTTCCCATATCTGATTCAATTTCAAGCAATGCTTCCTCTTCAAATGCTGATGACTGTGACTCATCAAATGCCCTTCTTGCCTGCCTTCTTGTTCTTGTCAAACACCARTTTGKTTTGTTGCTGGGAGGCATAAATAGTAGCAACAGAGTTGCTGATAGGAGTGTTGCTGCTACCATAATGTTGCTGTTGCTGATACTGTTGCTAATGTGCTGATGCTAATGCGCTGTTGCTAATGTGCTGTTGCTAATGTGCTGTTGCTAATGTGCTGTTGCTAATGCAGTACTGTTGCTAATGCCTGGCATTGATACATTGTTGTTGATAGTGTCAATAAGAGTGTTGCTGATAGTGTGAATTGGGAGGGTTGTTGGAACAAGATGGCCATCCACTAGAATTATGGTAGCTTCATGAAATTGCAGCGAGGACTCCTCTATGTCCAACAATGGACAGATAGTTACCTGCTGGTTGCTAGTAATCAGTATTGGTGCATGTAGTGATTCAGGAAAATAAGAAGTCCACAGCTAGAGAATATATTTCTATTGCAACAAATGTCACCATGACAAAATTTCCATAGAAAAAATGGTATAGTTAGATAAAATGTTGTTATGGATGATGCTGTATGCGACATGTTTTACTTGTGAAAAAGATATTCAAAAGTGACATCTGTATCTTAGATCAGGGGGCCAACTCTATCATATCAAGTTGGCATTCAAAAAAAGCACAAGAGTTGGCATTCAAAAAAAGCACAATTGGATTGTGGATTTTTAATGCTTGATATGCAYATGTATCAATAAMTACCACAAGGACCCCCCAACTCCTGCATACAACTAGAATCCTCTCTTAATTTTCTTTCTAAGGATGTGCCTATCATTGTTGAGCGTACTAAATAGCCAAATATTTAATCTTTGAACATAAACATTATGGAATCAACTTCTGGAACACTTTGGTTTTGACTGGGTTGGATACAAAACTTAATTCTGAAACCTTTTGAATATTTATTGTCTTGAGTCTGGCTGGAATGTGAGAACTACTAGACAAACAAAGAACCTTCTTTCAGGAGGGATAATGGGGAAGTACCCCAAACATAGAAAAGCATCATTCTTATTATTGTATTGGTACCCCAACAAACAGGCAATGACATCAATCACTGGTTTTACAATGAAACAAAATTAGACAAAACAAAAGAACTGTGCTGACTTTATGTTGTTCTATTGATGATTTTACTGACATTTTCAGCATTGTTAGTATGCTGTCACTGTGATTGTTGTCAATGAAAGAGCTGTGGACTTCCAGTACTACTACTAGTACTAGTAGTAGCTATCAAGAGATCATGAAAATCACATTCTGTGTTGTGAATTAAGAAACAGTCCTGGTGGTCTGTGTCAGAATATGTAACTTCTATATTGTTGTAGTAGTACATTCAACTATATATTGTCCCATTGTGGTGACAATGGGGTTTGCCGTTGGTTGGTTCTTTGTGAATACTTGTGGTTTCTCTTGCTGTGGTCTGAGTGGTCAGCAGATATGAGCAATTCTTGTTTTTGAACTTATGAGGATTTTTTTGTGAAGTCATCATTTGTTTCTTTCTTGCTGACATGCAACAAGGATCTCCCTGCTTTTGTAGGTTTTGTTTGGATATTAATGTTCCTTTCATCTCATTCTTGTTTGTGTTTCTTGTTGCTTGTTTGTCTACCTTCTTTAGCCCTACAACAAACATAAACTCTGAAAACACTGTCTTGCCTAATATTTGAAACTTTTGAGACTGCAATAATAAAAGCTACTAGTAGTTGGTAGCAGAATTTTGAGCATATTGGGTTACAAGATTTGCTATAACTTTCTGTGAGTGGCTTGTTAGAGCAGGGAGACAACTACAGATTATTTTCATACCTGTGGTTGATTATCAAAAAAGCAAGGACAGGCAACTTCCTACTTCCTGCAGACAGTGTTGATATATGGTGTACTACTAGCAACCAAGTAATCCACTATGATTAGAACCAAGTGGTCATTTATGATTAGTAACTCCTGTGTCATTTTGAAGAATTTCTCACCTGTGGATAGGTTTGTAAAGATACCATCTTCTCAGAACTTGTGCCAAATAGAATTGGAAGGACTTCAATGGAAATAGCTGGGTGGAACAAAATTTCATATTATCAATTAAAAGAACAGGAAGTCAAAACAAGCAGCTGTGAGTAGTTGGAAATCCATGTTTGTCATAAGGTAGCTTGTGTGACCAACACTTCTGTACTAGATCTCATAATAGGAGGCGCAGCATTTGACCCTAAGAAAAAATATCCATGCTATATTATGTTCAAGTCAACAATGGGACAAAAGATGGGCTCTCTTGCAAATACTGACATTGTCACCATACCAACACCTCATTAACAATGCAATTGAAAATTAAGGGGAAGAACCGCTGTGTCAATCAACTGTAACAAGAGTAAAAAACACAGAATTTTTGTTCTTGGAAAGAATCTCAAGCAAGTTGTGGCATCAACTTATGATCTTCAAAAGCATTTTGAACTTCCAGGTACCAGAAACAGTGCCTTCAACTGGGGGTAGCAACAGTTATGACAGATATAGTAGGGAATAAACATGTCAAAAAAAGTCCATGCTTCTTGCTTAGTAATTGATGATTGTTCCCTCAGTACAAGTTGGGATTTCTATCATACATTTGCTCAATTTTGCTCTGGAATGGATTGATATGATGATGATTTTGAAGTACAACATGACTCATCTCCAAAAGTCAGTTCTTAGTGTAGCCCAAAGTCAGTTAGTACCAATAGCTTAYCAAAAGTCATAACAGGTTCAATTTTCTCTCCCTGTCCATCACAAGAAGAAATTTGGCCTCCTGTTGGTGGGATTTTTGTATCAAAACAGAATCTACAAATATACTAGTACTACTACTAGATGGTGGGTCTCTCATGCCTTTCTTTAGCTACTTCACCTGCTGCTTCAGTTGTACTGAATCCTCCCACAGCAAGGAAGTGGCGTGAGCTCAAAAAATACATAAAATAGTAGTATAATTCTGAGTTTCATTGGAGTAGATCATTAGAAGCAAATTGTCCTTCTACTATGATTCTATTTGACAAGAGTATGTATCCAAGAAAGTCCAGTGGTGAGTTGTGACCCCCCAAGCAGACACGTTGGTGTGAGGAACATCAGCACAAATAGTACTTCTTCTTCTTCTTCTTCTTGTTCTTGTTGTTGTTGTTCTTGTTGTTGTTCTTGTTGTTGTTGTTGTTCTTCTTCTTCTTGTTCTTGTTTAGACAAGAACAAGAATTGCATGGGAAGCATTGAAGAACGCTGCAAAGAAGGACAAACGCTCTGACAAAGTAGCAGGAAGAGTCATCCTACTATAGACCATCCATCAGAAAGTTGCAAGTAGTGTGTTGACTTCTGATAAGCAAAGAAGACTGTAAMTGTTACTGCTACTAGTACTAGTAGTAGCATTGTTGGTAGCAAACCGTAGTTCTACTGTAATTGATCAAAACTCAAAACCAAACGTTTTTTGTCAAGCATCGAGGGTCCAATTTTTTTCATAAAATCCAGAGTGAACAATACGGCTGCGGCGACATCAACCTCTGCTTGATCACCACCCAGCCTCGCCTCTAGACATTTAAGAGAGCGCGCAAAGGACAAATAAAATTATAAGAATCAATAGTGGCAATGGAACTTTTTTGGGTGGAATCTCGACTTGGTATGGTTTAATCGCAGTAAGCACGGCTATGAGAGTTTTCTTTAACCGAAAAGCAAGGATTCTTCGTTGTATTCGGATTGGGAATCCCATTTGAAACGCCAAACATGGCCTTTTCCCTTTGTGGGTCGGTATCGTCGCTACTTTTCGACTTCTGCTTTATATGGTGTTTGGCAATGGCATCGGGAATGACGAAATCGGCTCCTATTACTAAAGAACCTTCTTCGCAAAGAACCACAACCCGTTTCAAGCTCCAGTTTGATGGATGCCTTCGTCCGCCTCGAGACCCTGGGTTTCCGACGATTCCCTATCGCATGGCCGTATGTTCTGCTTGTGTTTGGGTGGTGCACAGTAGAAATAACAGCGATTGGGTTGACTTTGATCGAAATGACGTTGACGACAACGATGAAACCTTGATTACGCCATTGGCAGTCGGCGCAAGGGCACTTCCAGTTTCCACAGAAACGACTTCACAGCATGCTGAATACGAAGGTCTCTTGTTGGGACTACAGTGGATGGTTGATTTTTTTTCACTACCAGACTGGAACATACAATATACATTTGCCGAGAATTCGAGAGCACTTGAAAACATCAGTGGGATCGATAGTTATACTTCTACCATGCGACAACCACAAAGAGTACTGATATCGATAGAGGGTGATTGCAAGACAGTCATTGATCAACTTTCAGGGAAAGCGATACCTCGAAAATTGGAATCGTTGCATGTACGCGCTCAGAGTTTGTTGGACGAGCTCACAAATAGAAACGTAGTTGTCATCAATGATGATGATGATGATGATGATGATGATGATGATGGCAAAATCTCAGACGCACGTAGCCTCGAGTCAACAGAGGCAGTAGCATTTGACATAGAATGCCGCCATATACCAAGAAGTCACAACCCAATCAGTGATAGCCTGTGCAATAATCTCATGAACATTATTGCTGCGAAGTCTTGGAATGACAGCATTCAGAAATTGGAAGAAGCCGAGAAACATGTAATGGATCATGAACTCTCTGCTTCGAGTCCGCATACAATCTCAGAGCGACTTTCCAATATCCTCGAAACTACAACTAAAACAWCGAAATATTCCCTCCGACCTCCTGTGTACGATATGTTGGCGGATCTTGCCGTTAGGACAAAAGACTACAAATTGCTGGTAGACATTGGGGAGCGACTCGTCGAGGAAGGATCTTTTAAAACCAAGCCTCATTCTTCCAAGAGACGCCATGGCTCAAGCACGTCTCCTAWGGRTGCTATGAAAATCGAAGGGAATCAAAAAAAGAAAGGGATTAGATATCAAATCGAAGGTTGGAGGGGGTTGGGAAAAGAGAAAAAGGCAAGGTTTCTGGAGCGAAAACACAAAGTCCTACTTTCTTCGGATGGCGGCGACGACTACAACTATGTAAGTAATAGAGCACTGAAAGGCTTGGGTGACATTGCCATGGGTGATTGGGGGACAGCAATACCCGACACCTGGAAGCCTGTGGTTCATAAATGGTTCGCTTCTGTTCGGTATGACTCAGAAGACGAGCTGGTGSCATTATGGGAAGAAAATATTGATAGGCAGTAGGTTCAAGAGACATAGTAACGGGACCGATCGCAAGTTTTCACTCTATAATGTATTATTCTATTATGGGATTTTTTTCTTCCGTTTTAGTACCCATACCGTTCCTTATCAATCCATCCCTCGTGTTTCGGATCGTCGGAACAGCGCACTGCCGAGAACGAAGCTAGGACAGGGCGAAAAAATGCTCTCCACCACCGTGTATGGTTATCACCTGTATAAACATCATTGCATACCAATGTTCCGTGCGTCATTCGATATGGCTTTGTTCCACCAGCTTCTCGTTGACGATTGTGCATGTGCCTGCCCCATATGCGGCAATTCATTGTCAATTGCACCGTCCGTAACACGCCTTCCTCAGCATCAATATTGGTCTCTTCCCCCCCTAATGCCGMTACTTTTTGGCGGGGGTAGGCTGTGAGTGATACCTCGTCATAAAAGCGATCGGTCACGCAGTAAGGATTCGGCAAAACTCTCCAGGTCCCACGAACATSTAGCAAACGGCTTTGGATCGWTCCTRCTTGCTTTTTTCGTCTCGCAAATAGGTTAGGACGACTGTTCGTAATTGTTTTGTCAGCTTCAGCTTCTGTCGAGACCGATCTCTGCCCTTCATCTGTACTTGTGGTTTGCTTCGGTGTCAACACGAAGGTCCCGTCGGAAGCCAGGGAAAGCGTGCAATCCAACGAAGATCCCCAGGGCCGTCGTTTCACGAGCGSTATCGACCTCTGTTTTTYCCCCGGGTTCGGTCTTGTCGCTGGCGATGCATGGAGGTCGGCAACCGATGGGAACACAAAGGAAGGGTYCATCCAGTAGCTTCCTCTCATCGAAATATCCCACTCTCCCGTAGCAAGCTGGAAGGAAGTCACGGGTCGCGCATCAACGAACGGAGTAATAGTGGTATGGCCCCGGTCCCAGAAACCAAAAAGGTATGAAAGCCAGATAGAACCGAKAATCCAAGAATATATCTTTTTTCCACTCTTCCAGATGATCATCATGAGAATGTATTGGCTGCAATTGTCGCTCCGAATTCTTTCGTTTAAATTCTGGATAGTTACGACACCTGTTATCAATGCTCGGGTAACTTCTCAGATTTGCATCTAGTCTACGGTACCGTGTGATTATTTTCGTCTTGTTACCCGTCTCCTTYGATGTGTCGATGTTTGTCTCACTATCTGCAGGAGAATCATCGTACTGTTACGTAAAACGGGGTATCACCGTACGTACTGTACCTACGGTACCTTACTAGGGGTAATTAATGTAGACCCCTAGTAGTACGTATGGTACGTACCTACCAACAGGGGTCATAACCCCTGCCTACCAATACGTACATYATTTGGTTCCAATTGTGCGCCCAGCGCCTAGATCACGAGTAGATAGTGACTAACCTCAATTTAAAACTCAAGAGAAACGGTACAGTACCGTACCTACGTACTCGTACGTCCATTTCGCCAGGATTTCACAGCATACGAATACAATCGAAAAGATCGAAGACGGAAGACAATACAGTACCGTACCGTACGGTACGGTGCGTACTCATACCGTTCTGTGCGCTTACTTACTCATACCGTACGTACGGTATCTATCTGGTATGGTACGTGATGTACTGTAGTAAAGTACTGTAAGGCTACTCGTACTCGTACTCGTACTAGTGCTCATGCTCATGCTCAATCTCTTTCTCATCAGAGAGAAATCGCTACCAGTATCGAAACCAAAGAAGAATGGAAAACCCGTATCATTCGAACACAATCTACATTCCTTTCCTTATGGACAACGGGCAATGATCGACCACATCGTGCAAAACGCGGACATACTTCAAAACGTTCTTAATTTCCTCGCGAACGATGGAGATTCCGTCGCTCGATTTGCTCTCTCTTCGAAGGAGTTGTATGACAAAATCCTGCGAAGCGAGACAATCATTAATCCGACTTTGTGGAAAGAACTCCTCCGCCAACGATGGAAACGAACGATGCGACGACCAATGGTAGCAAGCTCCAACGCCGACGACAACCAAAATGTCACGGTCGCAGAACTTTCGTATCGAGAATTGTACGTCGCAAAGCGACAAGCCGACGCCGAGGCTATTCGACTGCTAGAAGAAATGACCTCCGACCTTCTGGTAGTGTTGCGATTGAACGAACCAAAAAGTGTGCTGACCAAGAAAAATCCACACATCGGCAAAGCTTCGAACCATAATTGTTGGTACCATCTGCTGCGGGACAGAGCCGACTTCTACGATGTTATGAAAGCAACGGCAATGCGATACGCCAGACCCACTGCGGCATCCTCTGCCCACGACAGGCTGATGGGATTTTGCGCGGCCCGTTGTTTTCAAAGCATGCATTTCGCAGATTGCCTATGGGAATGGAGACGTCTTGCCGAGAAAGAGGAGGAGGAGCGACTAGATCGCCAGCAGCAACGGGAGCTATCACCACAGCCGTCGCTATCGCAAATGCGGGCCTGCCAACTGAGTGCGTCAAATTTCTTGGAACAATTTGCTTTGTTAGTATGCGAAATCCAAAAATCACCATTGCAACATCTGGAAGAACCCAATGGCTGCGCTTGTACCGAGTATAACGCCAACGATGAAATTACGGGCATAGGGTTTAGGAATACCATGCGATACTCCCATCAAGCAACCAAAAGTATGGACGCTATCGCCAAAGTTTGTCGAGAGCGAATCAAAGAGAAATCAGAAGCAAATGCTAGCACGAGCACAAAGCTCGCAGTCATCAACGATGTTCTGATGAATGACTATGGCTTTGCTGGAAATAGCGGAGATTATTACAACTTTCGGAACGTCCTGCTGGACGAGGTAGTGGAGTCGAAAACAGGGATGCCCCTCACGCTTTGTGTCTTATATAGCTGCATTTGTCGAAGACTTGGTATACCCGTTCACTTGATAGGACTTCCAGGCCATGTTGTATTGGGTTTTCATACAGATGACGAAAGCATTGACTTTGATGAGATTCATTCGTTCATTGACGTCTTTCATGGAGGACGTATCCTATCGAGGGACGACTGTAGACGAATTGTTGAGAATTATAGAATGCCTTGGCACGACGAATTTCTGAACCCCATTCCAACCACCATGATCATTCAGCGAATCTTCAACAACCTTAGAAATTGTCACGAAAGGGCGATGATGAATCCGAATCCTCCCATGTTTTGTTCGGATCTAATGTTTCAACAACACATTCTGGGCATGATACATCGTTCTCCTCCCGAGCTTGGTACCATTCTCTTGGAACGTCTTACGGAAGACTTGCCCAACGTYCTTAGTCCCGAGTTGTTGCACGCCTATCACTTACTTTCCCCAGAAGAACTTGGCAACGGTCCAGTCGTTAATGCGACACACGCACGAATGCTTTTGGAGCTTTCTAGTTATGCTGGATTGTCGTACAACAATTACGCTTAACATAAATTACTTATTTTTTCTACCAACTAATTTCATACACGAGGAATCCATCCATTTGTCGTRAGCTGAATCTAGGACCTGCAAGAGAGATTTTGGTGCATGTCATACGTAAAGCTCTGTAGTAACCTTGATCAGATTCGCACGGAGCTTTGGTCGTGCTTCCACAACAACTCCTCGGAGGTAAGTGCCGCCCCTCCGTGCGACTCGAAGCATACCTTACACCCAAAGCTATGGTTCTGGCCATACAGCGCCTCTTCTAGTTCTAAATAAAATATTAAGATTTTTTTTAGATTCGCACAGAGCTTCACATGTTCTTCGCTTGCATTAAATTGGCATGGAATAACATTATTTCAATCTACCCAGAATAGGATTGTTGGCTCGCTCGTTTACTTCTCCGTGGTCAGCATTCTTTTTCCATTTGTGTTTCTGCAATGGATTCACCAGAGTACGATGAAGAAGCGAACCATTTCAGCATTGCATTTGCAATCTTGTCTGGAGCCTCGTCGTGGGGACAGTGTCCTGCGTCGGCAATCTTCTCGAGCGTTACTGTATCCGGATTCAACCTTTCTAACCTAGAAAACGTTTCAGCTCTGATCTTAGCAGCCGCAGGAGAAGACACTCTATCATCTAGTCCAACAACTACCAAGGTAGGGAAACCCTTTTCTCCGTCTTCTTCTCCAACGCCCATCAATACCTCATTCAGTGGTCGATTGGGCGCAAGTTTTTGTCCACTACCGATCACATTGGAACTACCTGGGTGCAGCGCTGACTGCTGTATCGCATATACAACAGCAGGGTCTGCATTCTCTATCCTGTTTCCGTAGATTAGCGATAATCTTTCTTCGATTTGCGGATAAATTAATCCCACAATCGCTGAGCCAAAAAGATCAAGAGCCTTATTTCCAAACAGCGGTACAGTGTTGTACACCTCCTCCGGGTTACCGTTGATMGCTGCCTCAGTGTGAGAACTGAAGTCAATATAGATATCTGTGTCACTGTCGACGGGGCTCTTGTATCCATCGTATGTATCAGGGTCAAGCAGGAGCCCTGCAGTGTTCAACAACACCAAACCTCGACAAATCTTTTTTCCCAGAGACGCTGCCGCACCCGCAGAAAGTCCACCGCCAATCGAGTTGCCCACCTACATCGCCACAGTTGCCACCAAATCAAGAAAAAAGAAAGCAACCGTTAAGGAAGAAAGAACGTACAATGTATTTGCAGATGCGGCAATACATCTTCATGAGGCAGAGACACAACAGAATACAGATGTACTCACCATGACCATGGGCACGGCTTCCATGACCTCGGTGGCGAAGTCAATAATCTGCGATTCCCAAAGGTATTGTGTATAACTTAGACCCGGCTTCTCCGAGTGACCAAACCCAAGAAGATCCACCGCATACACGGGTGGAGTTGTATCTTTTCCACCAGTCGATTCTATTCTCTGTTGTCGGAGACTGTAGACAAGTCGTTCCCACTGCTCGGCCGAGGCTGCAAAACCATGAACTAATAGTATGGCTGGATCACGCGACTCTTCATCTTGTGCGTCGTAGTCCTTTCCGGCAGGAAAGGTTAGGTATCTCACAAGGTGCTGCCCTTTCCATCTCCAGTAATTGACAGTTCCACTTTCACGCGGATCTGGATCTTTGTCCTTGTTGTTCTCGTTCGTCATCCCGGTCTTCTCACCACCCGATGTGGCCGGTTGATCGATTTCCTGAAGCGCTAACGAGCGTTCTGCGAGTAGATGGAACTGCGGAGAAAAAAAGTTTTGATTGAAAGCAACGAAACCACGGAGTTAGTGTTGTGCGGATCGATTTGTGATTTTCTGTTTCACTTTTAAAAAAATTCTTTCGTAGAAAACGGTTCAAGGAGCGTCCTTTCCGCTATCTAACTTACCCACTCCCTCCACTCAATGACATCTGACAAGCTGCCTTCACTGCTGCGGCCCCAAAGCGAACTGTCGGACGGGGACAAACCGGCACGGTTGTTGTCGCCGATATTTTTCTTCTTGATCTTGGAATCCCACAGCAACACTGGCGGGGTCACGGGGGACCTATTTCTTGCTGCATCTACAACATCCCGGGCACTTACCACACCAAGATTCAAGGCGGAGGAAAAGGTTCTGGTTGGTCCCTCTCTCAGTGCCAAGGCCTCATTTGCAGAAGGGGCCGATTTCAATAGCCTTGCGATCGACATAGCGTACAGGCTCTTTTTGCTCTGGGATCCTTTGTTGGCAGCGTCGGATGCGACGAAGTACTTGTCTGTGAATTCGTCATTTCCGGTTTGGCAGTATTCTTTCAATGCCTTCTTCGCCCCCCGTTCTGTCGACCATTTCTCGGTTATAACCGTTTCGAAAGGCTCCGTGGTATCTACATACTTTTGCGACCTTGCCTCTAGTACGGTGCTGGGTGTGACAGATTCTGCAATGCTGAGAAGCTCTCCAACAGATGGTATCCCTTCGGACCGTATCAATGTAGAGTCTCCTCCCATTTCGGCATTCTTCGCCCGKATGTCATGGATGATCTTTCCATTATCCGGAGCCACTACCGGCAGGGCGTCAGCAATCTCGCAATAGGCGGGAAAGAAACTCGGCATCTCCTCACTGGACCAGGGTACGGAGGGTCTCAACCGATTCGACCAGCGGTGCACCTCTACGCCCATTTCGTCGAGGGCCGTGCAAGTCGACTGCTGCGCGGTTCTCATGCTGTTCACAACATCGTCTTCGACGACGTGGCAGGCAACTGCGTTTGTTTCTTTTGCCAGGGAGGGCAAAATCGTGGACGCCGGTCCCATCCGCACCACCAGGTTCGACAGTAGAGACGGTAGCGACAGCGACTCGATTTCCTTTTCGAGAGCCGTCAGGGACTTGTGCAATCGTTTTAGGGACGAAGCAGATTGCGAACGAAGATGAACCTCTGGATCGATTGCAAAGACCGGAATGATCAACTCGTTGGTCTCACCGTTTCCAATCGCTCTCGTGAACGCCTCCACAAATCCACCGTGGTCGTATACCCTCAGGTCCTCGAATCCCGTCAGCCACACCAGCCTCGATTTTCTCAGAACGAATCCTTCCTCGGGAGTAGCCGGATCACTTTTGGATTCGCTTTCGTCACCATCCGCCATTGCAATGGATGTAGACGCCGAAACTCGCTGCGATTCTAGCCGTTCCTCAATGCGAGAGAACGTGTGTCCACGTTGTCGTGCCAGCAACACATTTTGTGGAACGAAAGCAGATGTAAAGGCGGTGGCGCTCCACAACGCGAAGAGACAAACATTTCTGCAAACGGCGTACGATTTCGAACCCGACATCAGCATACCCTCTTTCTCGTTTGACAGCTTTGGCTTGTGCTRAACTTTTCGGTTATGATGATTCGCGCTCACAGCTATTACTTCTGATCGCTATCGGGAGGGTTGTGGATCCAAATCTTCGAGAATTTCTTTTTGGTCGTCACCGCTTAATTCGATCTAAGCTGCTGGTGCTAGCAGTTCGAAAGCTGGCAGGATTTTTTATTCTGTTCCGTGCGGTAGCTCAAACAAGAAATGACGTCTACGRATTGTTGTTTGTATCGCGGAAAYCMAGACGGGAACGAACAGACGGATGCAAAAAGTTCGCTTTCCAAAAGCTTATCGTATGTTCCGCCCGTTCTAACCCCGACTGAGTGAGTATCACACACGTCTGGATCGGCCACATCATCGTCAGTTTGTTGATCATGATTCATCATCTACCGGTGCATAGAAAAGATACGATAGTATCGTACGATACGGTGATACTAGTACCCATCCATCCACAAGAACAACTGAAGAATGCACCTGATACACATGAGGAGTTAGAGTGTTACTAGATTTAACAGTCTTACTACTAGTAGTAGTGTCAGACTTACTATTAACATTCCAAGTGGTAGTATTCTGAGTGCACCATAGGCCTATGTAAACCTGCTACTACTAACTGGTGCATTCTTCAAGAATGCAGTGGTGGCCGCCCACTGCTACTACTAGTACTACTACTAGTACTAGTACTACTACTAGTACTAGTACTCCTACTAGTACTAGTACTAGTACTACTACTAGTATTGTCCCCCCCTTTTTAAATTCATAATTTGGGGGCATGATTTTGTGGTTTATTTTTTCTGGAAAATAACCCACCATCAGTGTGTTTTTGAAAAAGTACGTCACAACGTAGTCTAAATTTGTTTTGGAAATAACCCACAAATAACCCACATTTGATTCAAGGATCAACCTAGCACAAATGTGATCTACCCATGAGGAGTCTGTCAGCCCTATCTTCAACCTCAAACAAAAAGCACCAATTATTACAAGCAAAGTACTTGACAATAATGACTTCAAGAATACTTAAGATCCTTCTTGGTTCTCCTTTTCTAACCCAAATGATGACTCTAAATTTCTGGATTATTTGTGGGTTATTTTGTGGATTATTCTTCCCATGAAATGGTCATTGTTTCCAAAACACAGGTTACTATTCCTCCCATGAAATAACCCACATTTCTAAACACGGATTATTCTTCCAACAAAATACAAATCCACCACAAAATTTTGGGGAGAAAATTCAAAAGGGGGTATRTACACTTGGCTTCCAGAGGGCCCAGCAGTAGGGATGATAGCTATGATTAGGCCAACTAGGCACTCGGAATGCTACAACAGTAACACATGTAATACCAAGTATTGTGTAGTGTGGGCCAAGCAAAAAAAGACGGTTTAAACYGTACATTAGAAATACTAGATATACATACATGTATATCGATGAATATTTGTCGGATGCCGTACTCCCCCACCKCATTCRAAAGCTCTTTGAATTCTCTTTTTAACCATGTGCTTATCATACTTAAGCGTCCGTTGGGGAAAAGTTATGGCCCAAACTGTCAGTTCAAGACAAAAACAGTTATATGGTTAAATTATACGTGTGCGTGGATAAGCGGCCATCTAATTACGGTGTAATGACTCGTGGGATTAAAAATTTGGCTTGTACTAGGCCTACAGCATGCACGTGAAAGCAAAAAACTATTTTGCATGTGTGCAAAACTATTTGGTCGCATGAATGTGGGATTCAAAAATTCAGCACGTGCCCCACTGTACCGGTAGTACAAGTTAAATTTTTAATCCCACGAGTCGTTACACGGTAATCAGATAGCCCGTAATCTACGAYTGGRACCATACATTAGCTGGCCAACTCTATACACCMAGAAAATTGAATCCAACACTTGGAATGCYTTGTGTTTGCTGAATTTCAATTGTTAATTAGCTACAGTGCACTGGACTATCATTGACTTCCAAAATGAAAGTCATAATTGGTCATTCCAAAATGATAAAGAACCAGCCAAATTGCTCCTAAGATTTTAAAAAAATCCAATTGCTCCGAAGATTTTAAAAAATCACTCATTTTTGTCATCAGCCATTCCAAAATGAAAGAGAACCCTCACCAAGAATAGTACTASTAGTAGTAGTACTATTTGAATGTTCAATCATTATCATTACTGTTTATTCTAAAATTTAAGAGAACCCAGTTCCCCCCACCATGACATCCTGTATATCCAGTCATTATTGTGGTAATTTGTCACTACAAGACCAAAGTAAACCCAATCCCTCTCAAGATCTGCTAGCAGTAGAAGGGCTATGACCATGACTTGGACAAACCTATTGCACCCAACAACAATACTAGTGGGGACACCTTTGGCGATGGCTTTGATGGACATGACAAACTGGTTAAAACTGACATAGATGGCGCTGATGCCTTGTTGGACAAGTTTGAGTCCTACAAGAAATACTACTACCAGCAGTTCCTCTCAAACTTGGGGATCAGCAATGCAGGGGAAAGAAGCACCAATGCCAACACCACTGGCCTACACAGCAACATTTCAATGACTGTCAACYTTGCTTCCACCAGGCCCACTGGCAAATGTAACAACAACTACTATTGGTATGTCAAGGAGGAGTCATTATAATTTTGGTTGTTTCAAAATTAAACTGGATATTTTTAGATGGCAAAAGACTTCAATCACAAGCCATACAACCATCCAAACAGAAGTGAACATGGCTCTCATCCATCCAAACTGTGAGCCAACTCTTTTTATATCCTCTGAGTCCAGCCCCAGGCTTTAATTGGCTTGCCAGTATTYATTGAACCCAGTTCTTGCTCCTCGTCCACAAGCACTTCTTGGAGGGAGACACCATGCCTCAGAGCAACTAGAAGCATWCTTCTCCCTAGTCAGGAGAAGTTCTGGTTCTGGTCATATACTAGTGCCTCTTCTACTAGCTAGTTCAAGAGGTTACATAAAATGCTTAGATTTAAGAATTATCACTTGTTCTTCTTGCAGTTACTTCTAGTACTACTAGTAGTTGCTCTGAGGGAAAGCACTCCTGGAGGAGCATGACTGGTATGGTACCCACAGATGTACTACTAAGGTATGCTGGAATTACTATTTGTAGTATGAATATCTCTTTTTGGAGTATGTATCAAAGACAAGAACAGCATTTCAATTGATTTTGGTACTCCTACTTGTGGAAAACTAGTATCATTTTGAATGTTCCTATAGGTTTTTTCATAAACTCTGATATAGTGGTATCATGAGAAGGGAGTGTTGGTGGCATTAGATGGGAAAGCTTCAAGGTCAGGGAAAAAAGAGTGGCTTCAGTTGGACAAGTTTCCAATGGAGAGAAAAAGTGTCTGACTCTCTTTGTTAATCATACTTTGTGTGAGGCCTGCTTATGGAATCAGTGTGATGAACAATGGACATTTTTATTTCTCTGCTCTCCTAACAGCACAGCAGCATAACAAGATGTCAAGTCAAGGAGGCTCCTAGTATTGCCAGGAAAGTCAACTGGCATGAGAACAGTTGACRATATGGATAGTGTTTGCTGGACACAGATAAATTGGTGATGCTTCCATTGTTTGAGAACTGTAGCACCAGTGCAGAGTAGGATGCCATTCCAGAAGGTTGTGGCAAGGACATACCTATCAAGGCAACAGATATCAATATTGAGAGACTTGCAAGCTAGTACAGCCTTGAATACATTGTTGCTTGCTGTCCACTTGATGATACTAATGTTACTACTACCACTGATGTTATGACAGTCARCATTACAGCATTTAGGACAAGCATGGTTAGAAATACTATAACTTGCAAGTTTCTCAGCATCATGCTTTCCTCAGCACTGTTACTTTTGCTCAGCCAAAACTAGTATGATGGCCAAGCCAAAGTGGAAAATTGAAGAACTGTCATCAAAAATTGCTAAAAATTCTCAGGATTGTTAGTAGTATGATAGCACTTTCAACACACTAGAAGCTTGGGCAATATTAGACTCAACAATGCATAGTTGAATTTTTTAAATGACAAGAACCAAGAAAATGCATTCAGTCAGATTGTTGTTGCTTTTGTTTTAAAAATGTGTACATTCACATCACCAAGAATCAAGAACAAGAAGAGACTCTGCTAGAGGGAGATTAATTGGTTATTGCTCCAACAAATGGAAGATCTGTCATGATTAATGGTGACAATGATGTAGATGTTGAGAGATCTAAAGCAAATGGAGTCATCTTTTGCACATTCAAGTCTATGAAGAAACAAAAAAGGATTGTGAAATTATCAACATTTATAKTTTTTTTTAATKTGTGGATGCTGACACCAAGGTTGAATGAATAGAGTCCTTGAGGAAGAAAGCTAAAAAATGATTCACTTCATAAAGCACTGCAGCACAGGCTAAATTTTGATGTCCTCAAGAGGAACATCAATCAAGAAGAATTACACATCAAACTTGCGGAACATGTCACAATCATGGAATATAGATGGTACTAGTACTTTACTAGTACTAGTAACTCAATTCCTAATCAATACTAGTGCAGTAGTACAAGAAGAACTGTTCACAAATAAAGTAAGATCCTTGGAAAATGTCTTGGTTTCAACCTGTTCTTACATGAGAACAAGAAGCAAATTAGCTATTGGATTACTAAGAAGAAGCTTGTTGTTGTGCTTTAAGAAGAAAGAGGAYGAGTTACTACTACTAGAACTTCTTCCCGTGCTACTGGACTGCTGTTTGTGAGAACAACAGCACCGCCACTTCCCTCCTCTTCACAAAAAACAAGCAATATTGCCAACAACAACTTCCAACATAGACAGCAGATCAATGAATTCCACTCCTATTTGAGAAAAAACAAACAGCCACAGTTATTTTGATAATTCACTTCCAATTTTTAATTTTTTTAGTAAAAGTACCTGTACTTGCGCTAGCCAACCAATCCTTGATTGACGTTGCGTTGAGTACGATACATATGTTGTACTATTACGTACGGTATCTCGTACGATACGATACCTGAGGAAGTGAAATCAATTTACTGTACCGCAATTTTTTGAATATTTTTGGTCATTTTTCAAAATCGACGGTTGATTTCAATTSTAGAGGCCCTGTACGCACAATTACGTACGTACGGTACAGTACGTACTACCCGCACGGTATCTCAGATTTCCCTTTCTCGTCTTTTCGGAGTGAGAAACCAAAAGCACCGACGATCGGAAGTAAATAAGGGCACAACAGCGGTGACGAATCCATCGGTCGATCGATCGGCTAATCCAATCCGTTCCAATCCAATATTGCACTCCATCGCGAGTTTCATTTCGCAGGCATATCATGGTTTCGCTGTACAAAAGAGAAGCACTGCTCGCAGAGGGAAAAGCTGCGGCGTTGGTATTGTTGGTCCTCCATGTGTTCGCGTTTGTCGTCATGATGAGCTATCGGCTCCACACCCAACGCTATTATCTATCGCAGGCTGCCATTTCTAAGGAATGGGTCAGCCAACTTTCGGAATCAGAGGATTCTGGTACTCTACCGAAACAGAAAAGCGGGACTCCAGTCAACAGTCCACTCRAGCGCTTCGAAGAACCAATGCAACAACTTATACGCAGGTTGGAAAAGGGGCAGGGTTCGGTGGGGCCCAAGAGGGAAAAGACAGCCCAGCTAGTAAAAACCACTAGGAAACTCACCCAGAAGCTCAAATCACTGGAATCTCCGACCGAGAAAGATGCCGGGTCGGACGAAAGCGACGACCACGACGAAACGTCACAATCCGCACTGCCGAACTGGAGAAAACTCGTGTCCGTCGGTTCACTCAAGGACATTCCAACCAAAGAGCTAGCGACAATATTTGGCAATGCCACGAAAGAGATCCAGGAAATCGTCGGAACCAAAAGAGAGAAGAAACTGATGAAACAGTTCATTCTCGATACAGCTGCCGGTTCCAGCATTGTGAAAGAACCAAGCAAGTTTGTTTGCCCGGATCTTTCGACAGACTCTGGAGATGACGACGACGACGATCTCAACGAAACCAAGAAACTACTAAAGGACGCTGCTTACAAAGAAGATCTGAAAGACTACCTCGAGAAATTCGATGCAATATTTGCCAACCGTGTTCAAGCCAAGGGCATCGAGGCGCTACTACCAGAATCAGTGAAGAAAATAGAAACGGAGATGGAAGAGCAACTAGAGACTATATTCGATACTATCGCAGGTTTCGCAGACACCCTCGAGGATCAGCTCGAAGAATTTGAATCTGATGATTCAGAACAAACTGAGAAAAAACTTTCTTCTTCGTGCATAAATCGAGAGTTGGTTACAGCGGTGATGGAGGCGGGACTGAATGCGCAAATAACCAACAGCGATGTTCGGGAGGCCCTTCGGAAGACTATACTTGCACTCGATACCAAAACCTCCGAAAACGATCTCATCCTAGACGCTGACCTGAAGTCCAAAGGCAGAAACCTCGGTTCTGTCAACAGTGGCCCGGTCATTAAGAGCATCAACATACGATCGTTGGTTGATACACCCCTTCTCATGAAATCGATTGGTTGGATTGATATGTTGGTAGACGCAATTGGAGGGTACAGCGACGAGTTGGACTCTTATCTGGATTCTCTTGCYAGCTTTCACGGGACAACTAGTGTCGGGGAAATCGTGGTGGAAAAACTTTTGGATGAAGCTGGGAGGATGGGGGAATTGGACGCACAGAAATATTTGAAAAAGTTGMAAGACGTCGTTSGAAAGTAATAAATCCTCTGTGCTTCCCGGGCCAAAACAAGTCGATTTTGATTCGWCAATGCAATAAGATACGCAGTACATGTAATATATATTGATGGAAGCTAAACAGTATTACTATTTACTTCGAATCCGTAGTATTGACGCGAGAAAAAGATTTTACTTCGCTTGTGGAYCGCAGTGGCGTTCATTATGGCGTCCCGTGTGTCTCTTTCTCATCTGTTCATCTTTTGGAGAATCCTTTCAGGCTCAGTTTCTTCTTCACGGGGGCAGGAGTGGTTGCSACAGCATAACCGCTCATTTCTCCACGCACCGCATACTCCAAGACGGCTCGATCATGGTCGGCCATCCTTCCCATGCTGGCTTTGAAAGGTATCGGTGTGGTTCTGGCCACATGGGTAATAGCCTGTGCGCACATCCGCCCAATCGATGAATCCGACAATGGTCCCTGGGGCGGAGGGTGGTTTGGAAGTCCATTAAAACGGAGGACGGCAATGAGCACCTCGAACAGAACAAYAAGAAATTCCGTTGTATCCTCCGACTCAGGGAAATCTGTCGAACATTGCTGRTACGAAGCCAAGGCAATCTTCATGCAGCCGGCACAAGCAGCGACTCTGTGCGATTGCAATTCTACAGATGGATTGCTCAAGGAACCATATGCCTGAAAGACAGAAAACACCTCGGCGCCCAGAGCTGATAGGATGCGTCCGGTCAAAGCGTTTGGAGGTGGATTATTTTGAACCATTTCACGAATGGCTCCCAGGGCACCGAGTTGCTCTTCTGTATTGGTTGGATTTAGAAGCGCCTTTTCTATTTCCAGCAAGCTTTCCTCGGCAGCGATTCCGTCATTGATCTTCACCGCTGACGACCATGCACTCCAATTCCGAGATTTTGCAAGACCCAGAGTTATTRCTGATAGTTCTGCTGTAGAGGTTGACTCGTGATTCAAACACTTCACCAGAAGCTCCTGCGACGCAGAAGATACTAAAGCTGATGATTTCTCTGGTCGCGTCAAGAGTGACAGAGCAAAAGGCAGCATTGCTTTCGCTAACGTAGAAGGTCCATTGTTTCCTATAATTCTTGCGACAGCATTTAAACATGCCGCAACTATTTCCGATGCAATATCGGACGTCACAGAAATCTCGTTTTTCTCGAGGAGATCCAGYGGGCTCAGCAGGGTAACGAGAAATGGACAGGAGTCCGAATCTTCTTCAAACGAGATTGTTGCTGAAAAAGTCACTAGCAAGGCGCATGATCTGACTATTAGTTTGGTCATGTCTTCGTTGTCATATCTGCCTTTACCACCTCCCCTCTGAAATCCATTATTGACCAGGGCAGGCAAAAGGATAGATTTGTAGATTTGGACTGCGGAAGTTTCAATCTCATGCTTCCACTTTTCGCTCAGATGGGATATATTGCCGGATCCAGATAAAGTGCTCAAACCCGCCAAGCAACAGCAAGCAACTTCGCAGGCATCRACTTGTTTTGCCCAAGATATTGTTCCCTGCCTACATGATTCACCGAYAGCTGAAATTGCGTCGTACAAGCCACTGAACATAAATGGGATTACTCTCTCCAACCATTCAAGGCAAGCCTTTGCTTCCGTTTCTGATGCCTGGGGAGAGTTGATCGCATCCAACAGGAATTCGATAGATAATCGAGCATTAGTTGCCCATGTTCTTGTAAGGGCTGCTTTCGTGTAGTCATCAATTTCACAAATRTCTTGAAAGGAGAAGAAACCATYACTTTTATCCTTGGTCTGAATTCTCTTTTTATCTGAGGGTTCTCCACAGAGWKTCAAGTTTGAGCTGATGAGCACTTTAGCTCCATCGRCAGCCAAACTAGCAGCATGGACTCCGATGCAAGATTTATCTGGTTCTATCATTCGTGAGATTTCAGGATTTTCTAGTGGAATATTTCCVAGCATGAACATCTTTCCAATCTTGAGAAGTAGGATCGATCTTACGTTTTGATCCCCTAATTCGTTAATGATTCCTAATGCATTTTTCGGCATGCTGGATCCAGCTTCAAAAAATGGGACTTCCTCTTGATTAAGAATAGTAGGTCGAATCAATCTCTTCAAAACTGCCACTTCGTTTGTCACTTGTGATCGAATGAGTGAGCACAAAGCGTTGCAACCTGCCCAAAAGAGACGGCAAGTTGACTCATCAATATTGTCATCTGGGGCAGTTAGAGCACTCTTGATACAAGAAGAAAGCTGGGGAATGTATTGATTCAACACACTGGTGTGAGATTCATCTGGATCGGGGATCGCTCCAAATCTACCTATGATAATTGCCAAGCAGTACATGGAATTCTCTTGAAGTATTCTAAGTTCAACCTGGTCGACTGTTGCAGTAGCTACCACGCATCCAGCTGCTATAAGCTCAGGTATATGTAAAGCAAGAGCCGACTTTGGGCTATTTGAATCAGATGAATTGCAAAGATTGCACGCATCTAAGCACTCKATTTGCGCTACGCGAGGATTGAAGCTTCTAGTGTCCTCAAGTTTTGTACCATCTTCTCGRCATTTCGTTGCAAGCTCCATTAGTGCGATTGTCATCATCTGGACTGCCACTACTTTTACTTGCCAGCGTATAGGATTACTCAACTCAAACAGATGTTTCGAGTCAAAGGAGGCTTGTTCTAAGGCGGCCTTTGAGACACTTGCAAYAGTGTGTGCGTTATCGTCATCGACTTCTTCCGAGACTGAGATCCCAGCAACGATTGATCGAGAGAGTAGAATGTATCGCAGGAGAATATACTCACATTTCGGTGAAACACGTTCGAGGTAGATCATAAATCGGAGAATGTCTGATACTTCTCCACAAATTTTATTCCCGTTACAAATAGTTTCAGCTTCTCTTGGCGCTGCCAACCCCCGATTAAATACTTCTCCGAAAAATCTATTCGACGCTGATGTCGCCTCAAGTGCAGCAAATAACAGAGAAATAATTTCCATGTCACTCCATTCAGCAACCAAAATTTCAGAGACAGACAAAGCTCGAAGCGTCCTCAAACTTCCCCTCAAGCATATGGGCGAAGAATTGCAGCCATGAGGTATATCTAGCATTCCACGAGACAAGACGGGCGATCGATTTGGAGATATGTTTGCCATCAAGTATGGAATGCAGGACAGAAGAGGATGTTCATCATACTTGATGCCACTAACCCGAGCGGGAAGTAGGTCTTGGTTGATAGCAAGAACTTCAAAGAATGCTAGTGCCTCAAGTTGAACAACTGCATGATCTCCATAGCATTCTACTATGATCATTGCCATGGTCGAGAATCGTCTTGCAATCCCAGCGTCATAATCTTCCAACTGATGCAGGAGGGGGGTTAAGAAAGTCATGAAGCGYAAAATCACAGATAAGAAAGAAGGCTCGAATGCAATTTTTTGGGTTTCGTTCCCTTGATCAAGCACATGCGAAGCAACTGTCCAAGCAGACATGTAATTGTCTTCGACRATTTCAACTGCTTTCTTTAGYAGATGCAAATCCTCTTCATTCAAGTGGATGCAATTCATTTTTCCAGAATACTGTAACAACATCAAAATTGAATGAAGCGCAGATGMACGAGCATTTAATGAAATCCCAGACGATAGTCGACMACCAACGTAGGGAAGTACTCTTGTCATAATTTGAATCGTTTGYAAAGAGTCCTCGTTTTCATGKTTAGACTTTGCAGGCGATCCCCGAAGTCGAGACCGACTTGCACGGCTTTCCGTTATGCGATGCGTGCTTCGCTGAATACAAGCCAATGTTAGCAGGCCACCAGATCGACCATTCTGGTRATTGTCCTGTAGCGCGTTTCGACCTTGTCCCTGACTTGGGTTTCTTGATATGACTTCATCTAGAGAATGCAAAACGGCACTCTGCAAAAAACGCATGTCCTCTTTGATACCAAGAGTGCTCAAAACCGCCAAACCTTCCGCTGCTGCACGTCGTACGTCGTTCGCTCGAGACGAAAGGATCGAGATAAGGATAGTAGAAGCTTTGTTCTTCCATGACGGCCCTAGTCCGATTGCAATATCGTGGGTCGATTCTTCAATTGGAAGAGCTTTGACACACGACAAAATTACAGCAACTATGTTTGTCGCAGGTGCAAGGTTATCCTTAATCTGACAAAAAATAAAATGAAAAGTTTAAGAACAGTAATATCCTGAAAATATTGAGAATCAATCCGACAAACACGTACCTTTCCAGTTCGATCCTGATCTGTTAATCCTGCATTTCTTCCTTTCTGGAAGTGGAGAGGTGGAAGTAGCGAGTGTAGGATGTCCATTGCCTTCTGCTGTTCTTTACCACTACGGAGCGCAAATGTAGAAGCAAAGGCTTGCACTGAAGCGTCAACGAGACGAATYCTAGTCGCACAAGAAGGATCAACAGGTTTTCTCCATGTGCCCACTTCATGAAGAACGGTGGGCGGTTTCTCTTTTCTTTCACAATTTAGCAGTCCTAGAACCTCACTATCTAGGAATGCGTCGTCGCTCTGTCCTTCCCTTTTATTTTGATCTCTAAGAAATAAAAGAGCAGATTCTCTATCCCCATGATGGGCGACTTCTGATGTACGAAGGAAGATATCTCTTCCAAGGTCGTGAGCGCCTCCTACCTGTCCAAACTCCTTCGCCCTGTCAAAGGAAATGGTGTCAAGGATTCTATCTTCTTTACTTATCAATGAAGGAAGTATTGAACATGACACATCGTCCTGAATAGATTTTTGGATATGGGAAGCTGCAAAACCGAACACCGAGTCCGCAATCATTGGGAAGGATCCACTTTCCAGAAGAGGAATAGAGAGGGAAAAGTTATTTGCGTCAGTTATCTTCTCTACTRTCGATGAGATACAAGSGATTGTTTCTTCCACTTACGGAGGTAGCCACGCGAAAGCTTCCATGATCGAAGCCTTTGCACTATCTAGGCGGCAAGCTGCCGTAGGATTGACAGGGATTGATCCAAGCCGACCCTTGCTGAAGAATAATGGTAAGAGATTCTCGAGAATTAATGAAGTTCGGCTCAAGGCGTCGGGTATAGACAGAAGAAGTTCCGAACCAAATTTAAGAAAAGTGACAATCGAAGTTAACAACGACTCTACACACATCATTTCATGATCAGCAGTAAAGTTGTCTTTCGATTGCGCCGTCTCGCAGACCTTTTGCCACAAACCAAAAATAGAGGCAATGTGATTGGACATCGCATCCGGACCCGTAGTTAGTACTGCAGCGATAAGGCARAACCCTGCTCGAATGCACGTGCATATACTGCTCGGACTAACTYCCTTTATGACATCGTTCGTTGACGTGGATATGAGAAATTCACAAATAGACATCACTGTATCCAAAATCTCTGTCGGAAGACCACCTGGAAGGTCAGGAAGGTCTCGAATCAATGTGGCAACGACGAGAGATATCCCGTGAATCGTATATTGGTGCTTCAGGGTTTCATCCACATTTGATTTCTTTTTCGTTGGTGTCTCACGTCGGAAGCGAAATCTTGGACTGTTGATCTCTTCTGTGGCATTAGATTGCTCTCCAGTACTCGCCGTAGACATCATCTCKGCATGTTCGAATTGGATCTTATTGATGCATTCTCGAACAATTTTGCGTCCTTCAGATGGAAAGACCGACGCAATAGAACCAAATGTCACGGCAGCTTCATGTCTTACTCCATGATTTGAGTGACTTAGACATTTCAAAAGCCCTGGTAGTATCTGCTCTAGAGAAGATGCCGTTGCTTCGCCCAAAGTGGCAAAAAGGTGGGATATTTCAACCAGTATAACTTGGAGCTGATTGCCTTGCAATGCGCTCTGTTTGTTTGAACACAAATCGACCAGCTCATGAAGAACTTTCAATTGAGAAATCTCGGTCATTTGTTGTGCCAAACCATCTCTGAGAACTTGATTTGTGAGCAAACGCGCAATGCAACCATCAGCATGAGAGACCTTCGGACCTTGTCCGAAAAGATTTCGTCCCTTTTGAGTTGGAGGAAATGCCGAAGAGCCACTGCTGGATGAAATCCTAGAGGTGACAACAGTACTAGCGTCTAGGTATGGAATTGGCGGCACTCCTCTATCTATCGGATTCAATTGCGTCTCCATATCCTTGCCGACCATAGCGAGAATGATAACGATCGATTCCCTGTAAGATAGACTTCGGCCCTCGCCTATTGATTGAATCTGCAATTGGAGTCTTAGTAAATGAATAATAGTTCGAGCGAAACCAACCCTGACAGCACGGCCGCCCAAGGAATAGTTACCTCCTGCCCTTGGAGCTGCTAGGTCTCCTCCTACTTTGATGAATACGCTCACCAAATATTTTATAGCCTTCGGCAACGTACTGCATGCTTCCGCTGACAACATTCCTTTCTTCGCGCCTCTTCCAGTCGAAGCATCCGGYGTGCTGATCGAATCACTTCCAGATTGATTCTTTAACTCGATCGATGTGGACATACATCTCGCTAGGGCCTCCGCCCATCCCTCAGACACGTTTGCACTATCATCATCCAAATTCCTAAACGCTAGAGTCATGATTTCTTCCAAGCAGGAAGTTGGTGAAGTGGCTTCGGCATCAGGAGATGACGATGACTTGATGTGTAAATTGATAGCCATGGGTCCAAGGAGACAAGCCAATTGAGTGGCCGAACTCCGCACCTCTGGATACCTATCTTGGGAGGCAATCTTGAGAACTTTGACCATCTCGAAAGTTGCTTTGTCTTCCAAYGCTCCTTTTAAYACGAATTGCGCACTTCCCCAGATCTCACGCGTTTTCATAAATGCTGAACGAGATGCGACTGCCACGCTGCATGCTACTCGAATAGCAGCAATCCGATAGGACGGTTCTCCATTGCCACTGGATTTGAGTGCTCTCTGACACAGTTGAGCTACGTCAAATGCCCAAGAGGCCAACTTTACGGATAGCTTTTTATCTTCCAACAATCCCGAAATGACTTCGAGAGCAGCTATCCGTGTTCCACCCAAGGCTCTTGCTGTTCTTGGATTWAGCCCTGCTAAGATGATCATATCTCGAACAAAACCGAACAAATTGATTCTCTGTGCACCTGATAACCCTTCCCCTAGACTGTGACAAAGGACTACGCAGTCAACCCACACTCGACGAATAGCGGTGCTCAACATGGGAGGAATRTCGTTGCGCGGTTTGCTTGGATCATCATTGGAAGGAATTTTGGCTGCCAAACTGCTTGAAATGCCCAACAATTTCATCAAGACCCCCGCTAAAAGTGAAGGAGCAGCTACCAACGGSGWTTCTTTCGGCGCGCTTCGCAACAAGGACCGCAGCGTGTGAAGAAGACCCAATAATTCTGATGAAGGAACCGGRGACATTACAGCAAACGACGAGTGTATGCCCTTTGGTGGATTGTTCGTAACGAAGCTCCCTTTCCCATATCGAGTAATAGCTGCTCCTAACAAAGCTCCAGCTTCTTCCACCGATTGTGGCATTGCATCTTCCGATGCACTCATGGCTTCTTTAGAATTGGCAGCGTGCTACCCTTTCAGCCGAGACGGCAAGCTACGGTGTCGGATACAGAAACAGCGTCTTTGTGTGTTGTACCTTTGGTGGGTCTGGTTCCTTTGTCACAGAATCGAATCGTTCGTACCGTACGACTTGTCTGCCGGAAAGACACAAGAAAGATGGAAAAATTATGATGAACGATGGTCCGCTCTGTGGAGTACGAGTACTGGTAAGTACTACTGTAATAAGTAGAGTGTATCTACCTCCAGCACGAGAAGGCCTCTTCTAATGACCGTATCGATGGGSGCTGGAATCATCGGAGAGATTTTGTGAGCATCATGAAGCATGATATTGGTACGTATGGTACGTATGTACTAGGTTGTCATAAGAAGAATACTTCAATTAACTTTACAGTAGGTACTTATGTACTCGTAATAAATACTAGTAGTATGTAGAGCTATGGATGAACTATCGTACTGTACCGTTGAATCATACTGTAAAACCGTACCCGTACTGTAAATGCGAGTACCATACAGTACGAATGGTAACACCTTCTTTCCGATACTATGACTCGATCCGGAATCCGCACCGAGTAGGTAGGGATGTCTTGCTGTCGTGCGTTCGACACGCGGAGCCTTGCTCCTGTGAATGGAGGTAGTTAAGAAACATACATATGTGCTAGTATCTTAGTTTACAGCTTGAGCCTACTGTTTTCAGCTCAGTATTTCAGTCTTTGGGCCTGGGTGAGGTCCCAAAGGCTGCATCAGGGGGGGTTTAGCCCCTCCCCAGGGACATGGGCCTTATTGGGTGGCTTAAAACCCATGGCTTGCGCTGGAAACYGGTTCCATGCTTTTGAGTATGCCCTGAACCCCTGGATGTGGAGATTGACTCACTCATCACTTACTGGGGGTCCCAAGGGCTTACTGAAAAGGCATTGAATCATTCCCAGGCTTAATCGAGAGGCATGACTCTAGCATTGACTCATTCGATTCAGCACTAATTCCCCCCTGTAGTATTCTTTGATATACCGCACGAATTTCTAGTATTGTTGCGTTGTGGAGAGCTGTTTTGCCAGCTCCTAAAGCTTGCTCTGGAAGCGTTTGAGACAGTCATTTAGTAGGTCCTGTTGTGCATAGTGATGACGGAGATGCTCGCTGGGGTCTTGTCCTCTGGCTGTCTCTTTCCTTGTCCAGCGATTTGCAATATCGATATCATCTGCTCTCACTCTAGCTCGAGTAGCCTGTGAAGTTGCTGTCCTTCTCATGGATCTGTGGACTTGCAAATAGGTTCGAATGGATTCAGCCGAGGATACAACTGCTGGGAAGAGATCCGGAAATTCATGATACACAGCCTCGGCTGCTTCCCATAGGTATTCATTCATGCTGTGGTTGGATAGTATGTATCCGTTTGAATCGCAGAAGGCAGGTCCTACCGCTCGACCGGCTCTACTGTGTACTTCAAGCAGATCATCACGCCAGCGTTTGATGTTAATCCCTGACCCTGTCACTTCGATAGATCTCATTAAGTACGTGTGAGGAGATGATCCTCCCTTAAGCTTACCATACAAGGGCAACCATACGAAACCTTGTCTGATTGCACGGTGCTTGTTTAGTAGGAATATATCCATAAGGAAAGCTTCGCTCCCTCTCAGGGATAATACATAACCAAAAGCTAGATAAGCTCCAGCAATTATCCAAGAGTCTTCCAGTGTACGATCACTAACCGTAGCCGCCTTGAAGGAACAGTGTTGTAAGATTAGTTTCCAGACCTCCGTACTAACTGCCAGGTTGGGTCTTTTATCTACTCCCATTCGGGCTTTGCAACCAGTGAGGAATCTGTTTTGCCAATAAGAGGTTGCTCCTCCAGTGTGAAGCCGACTGACCAGCCCTTTGTTATCCGAAACGAATGAGGCCCCTTTGAATACAGGATCGACAGCAACTCGTTCGAAATTCCCAATAGCGGACTTAACACGTCGGCTTGATTCCCACTGTTTGTGCTCCTTAGAGTACTTCCCTTCCTTCCGCGAATCATCTAACACTGCGACTGCGGTCTCAAATCCAAAAGTATCAGTGGGAGGAGAGGGTCCAGGATCGTAAAAGGGGCCCAATAGACCAAACTTCCTCAATGATTGAATTGTCCTTTCGATAGTTGATTTAGTTGCTCGTACGGTACTAGGAGCTTGGCTCCAAAATGCATCCAGGTTGGCTCTCCTGAGATACTTGAGCAAGAGCTGATCCGAGGAGCTTTGGGTGATTGGGTCTCTTTTCTTAGTTCGTCTAAATGCACAAAGATCGCATTGAAATGGAGTAAGGATATGATCCCCTGGCCTAGCATAGTTGTAAGCATTGGGGTCAGGCTTCTTTTGTCTCCATTTCTTATTAGTGGAAGCTTGGGGATGAAGCTCGGGTGGAGGACTGTTGCGGAAGAAGCTGTTGTCGTTAATCAAAGAATAACACTTTGCGCACCAGCTTCCACGGCATCGTGGGAAGCCTCCTACTGACCATGTAAAATTCATGCAGAAGAGAGACTGCACCCACTTGGTTGGTTTTCCACAGCTTAGACAGCTGCCTTCGTAATTGGAACATCTTTGGCGTTCCCCTAAGTATCCAGGGATCACAGTTTAAATAAGGGAAACACAAGCCCAGAATACAGGGCTCAAACATGTTAGTATTCCAGTAAGGGCAAAACGGAGGGATATCAAGAACAAGATCGCAACACTTATAGAGTTGCTTTAGCCATAGTGGGGTCATTAATCTTGGGCACAGCAAAATGTGAGTGGAATTGTGTCTCTTTAGTCGAGCCTTACGGAGCTCTTCTAAGGCTACATCGCATGCCGCTGGAGGGGGATACCATATGTAGGTTCCGGCTTTTATTGTGGGTCTCCACATAGAGTCGGCTCCTATATAGCCTCCAATGATATCGTGACCTCGTTGGAACCAATCCATTGGCTCGAGGTAAATTACCTCTTCTCCGGGGGATACAATAGCCTTTATTAAATCCTTCAAGCTAGGCTCCCGTTGCAGACTTGACATGTGAAAGGGAATAAATGAGCGGAAGGATAAGCCCGCCATGATTCCTTCGTTTAAAGCCCCTCTGGATAGTCCATCCCCTCCTTGTTTAATCATTCGGAAGCCTGACACGTGTGTTATCAAAGCCTCGAACCCATACTTCATCTGCAGAGTACTGAATTCAATAACTAATTCAAGTAGCTTGGGGCTGGAACTCGTTCCTTTGTAGAGGGCCCCCTCCACTGTGGAATTGTCTGTGGCAAATATTACGAAGGCCTCTGAAAGTCTTCCAGCTGTGCCCTCTCGCTCGATTGCATCGAGTACATTCCTAAACTCTCTGTAATTCGATGATTCGTTTGATACATCCGTAGACCAAGTACCATGATGGTATGAGATTCCTTCTACTGTCAGCCAGTTGTCTCCGAATCCTTCACCGGATGCATCACCGAAACCATAGTTAACTTGGTATATTGTCCGGGCTCTCATGGAGACTTTTGTGGGTTCTGGTTTTTCGAAGAATGATCTCAGTGCTCGTAGATCCGGAACTAGCCGAGGGGTTGGTTTGACTTTAGAAGGATGTCCTCTAACATGTGCATCAATCATCGCATTGCGTATCTCATCATCCTCGATAGATGCTAGCTTTTCTGTCCATGCCTTCGCATTGAGCTTCCAACCGTCCGAGTCTCTATTGGGTCTCCACGAGTCGATCGTTTGATGTAATCCCTTTAGATGAGCATTCATCACCTTGTAGGTCATGGCTACATGAACCAAGAAGCCTCTGTCTTTTTCTAGTTGTTTGTAATCCAGTTCTGAGTTTGGCGAGCTTGCTATTTCATCTTCGATTCTTTCAATAATGGGTAGGATGCGATCCCACTTCGCTTGAGTGATTGATTTGAAGATCGAGCTGTCGCTTGCCTCAGTTATTCCGCCGGCCCAGGCTCCGGTTCTGGTCCTTGATGGAGGTCTGAGCTTCCTTGGAGCATGCTGTATTCCCAAGTATTGTAGGTACTTGGCGAGACGTTGGGCCGCTTCCCATACTCTTTCAGATGTAGGACCCGAGGCTCTTACATCATCTACGAAGGTAACGATTGCCGCTGGTATACACTTAAGATTGTCGTCCCATTTCATAACCCATGGCAGTCTTGGATCAAACGTTCTGGATCCTGGTAAGTTAAGGATCACTCTATCATATCTAAAGGGGTTAGTTGCTGCCGTTCTGTCGCCTAGAACGAATTCTTCCGCATGATAATAGAACTTAATCGCAAAGAAAGGACTGGGTCTGAATCCCATCAGCAATCGAGTCCAGGCTACCTCCGTCCCGAGGACGGCCTGTTGTTGTGTTTTGGGCAATTTGCTTTTAATCTGTTTCAGAGAAACGCCGAGATGAGGTCTGATGATTTCCGGAACAGGGAAGTTGAGGAACATCTCTCCCAGGTCAAGATCCATTACCCAGTATCCGTACGACATTTGCCGGATAGCTGTGTTTGGRGTGGGCAACCAAAAGTTWGGGGCCCAGACCGATTCSTTGAGGCCACAACTTGTTCCATTATAAACGATRCGTATATCTAATATTTCTCCCTGGGRGCCAATGCCTTTAGGTACACCAAAGAAGTCGATGTAGCTGTTGGCTTTGGCTATAGGGGCGATGTACGTTTTGCTAATTACATCACTGATTTTGGCCCCTATTTGAGTGGCCATTTCCTCCGTAATTCGTCTGTGTTTCACTTGATAGTCYGGGAGCTTACCTCGCTTAATGAAWAGATCAAAGCCGTCTCTTGCTGCTTTGATCGTCTCAGCTGTTGGCCATCTCCAGAACAGAAGAGTAGATCCGTTGTCCCATTTCCACCATGTTGATTTKGAATATTGTAAGCAAGCTTCGTAGCCCAGGATTAAGTTACGTGTGAACTCCTGTATGTGCTCGTAGCTCGYAGTAGTGRRGCTACGTRAAGGAAGCTTTCCTCCACGTTGTGTGGGGCTGATTGCTAGAGATAGGAACTCGACCGGAGCGTGACTCGTGTGTGACTT